GTTCATGAACTGTGCTGGTTTTGTTCTTTGAGCAAGGTGATGTTAATGCACGGCTCATTTTATACACCAATAAAAAAAAAACAAAAACATATACCTATGTCTTGAATTTGAAAAAAATATATTTTATTTATCATTAAAAAGGGTTCAGTGAATGCGCATACGAAACTGGTGGGTTCGGTACCTCAAAAAAGGTTAACAACCACTGTTTTAGAGCTTTTTCTTTTTTGCAGAGAACTGTAATCTTAATCAAACCCAACATTTTTGCTTTAATATCTGCCTGTCAAACAATGAGCTTCCGCCTGCTATCAGCTGCTGCTCATCTTCATCATCTTCATCATCAGAGCAGAAGCCGACTTTACATTAGCAAGATGGATTTATGGCTGAACGAATGTCCATGTCTTTTTTAAATCATCTCTGTGAGTAACAATACTTTAAAAAACAAGTTTTTTCTCTGACAATTGGGTGTGGAAAAACTACAGTTGTCAAGCTTCGCTCTGCACAACGTACAGCGAGAGGAGAGGAAGAGATTATATCATGTGACACGACGTAACTTTCCTACAGCGGGAGGAGGAAATTTTAAAGATTTATCCTCTCTACGTGTTTTAAAACGCTAGAATGTCTGCATTGTTTCAAACCTTTCCTGCTCAGTTGTCTCTGCACTCACAGCCCTGTTGACACAGGTCCGATGACGTAATGATGTGATGGTAGAGCGTAAATTTCTACCGTAGGCCAACTTCATACCGTTTCTACCGTCTACTGCATATACCGCGCAGCCCTACTTCAGTGTTTCACTGAGTGACACACGTGTGATTCTTGGCTATAATACAGCATGATTCCCCAATGAGAGCTGATATTTATAGTTTTTTCAGTCTTAAATTTCATACAAGGTGGTATTGAAAAGGTCTTAAATTTGACTTGTTAAAACCTGCAGATACCAGTTAAAATGTGAACCATGAGTGTTTGTAATCATCACATGTAATCTGGACACTGTCTGACATCCTCTGACCAACAGGATCAAAGTGTAGAGTCGGTGAAACCATGTGACACTAGATTTAACATTTAAACTACAGAGTCAGAAACTGAAGCAGTTTCCATCTGTTCTGCCTGCTTTCTACAACCAAAACAATGTTTTTTTTATTTCTACCTCTTCTTCATCGTCTTCCATGTCTTCATCAGCGTAACGAGTATCGTCAGCTTCGTCGTCGTCATCATCAACCAGCTCAGGGCGGAACTCGAACACCTCACGGCCGCTCACCTTAAAGAACACAACATTAAACCCACACATGCTGCAGACGTGTGTCTCTCACTAGTTTCCCCTCACACTCACCACCAGAGACTTCCCAGCTTTAAAGTCTGCTTTCTTTTTCTCCATCTCCTCCCTCGCTTTGTCCACCTGAAACCAACAGAGACCTGGTTTGTGTCCAGAACCGTGACGGGAAGGTTTCCTTTCCTTCAAACAATGTTTCAACAAGTTCCAACCTTCTCCTGCCTTTTCCTCTTCTTCCAAGCCAGGAAGGTCTCCAGAGTGATCCGAGTGACGTTTGGACCCAGAGCAGCCCGCTGAGGACAGAGACTCCAGGTTAAAACCAGCTCCAGGCACAACGTCACTCATTAAAAACTAATCTGACTTTTCTTTAACCCACGTCTACGGCTGTAAGTGAAGACATTTGTGAGCCGTCACATCGGAACCAGGATGAGTCCAACAGTGTAGAAACAGACAGATACAGGGTTTTGATTTAAACGTCGGCAAAATTTGCATTTTGTCAAAATATAGTGAATTATCAATGTATCATTTGAATAAACTGAAATATAATCCTAAAAATTTTTTGAAGCCCTTTTTTGAGCAGCAGCAACAAAAACACTGATTTTGAGGAAAAACACCTTAAAATTTTGAATTTTTCCCTGTGAGTTCACAATGTTTTTGTTTCCTTTCAACTGGAAAATCTTAATATACAAATACTATTTGAGGTTTCGTTTTTATATTGACATAAAAATAACTCAATAAATGTACATAAAATCAGGATTCAGACCAAACAGTAATGTATTAATGTAACCAACAAGACAAATGAAGTCACATCTCTGGATAACTTTATTATATCAGGATGATCCAGGTATCAAAATGTAGGTTTTAAAGCAGGAATCTGAAAATGTAATTATATCATTTTGACCAAATTTGACTTCATCTCATTTCGATATGATGGGTCACATTTATTATTTGAAAACAGCACTTTGTAAAAGTGGAGTAAAAATAAAGTTTTTTTTTTTTACCAGAAATGAGTCGATATCTGAAGAAAACCAACATCAACAGAAACTTGATATTTACTGTAAGTTTGTTTACATACCCAGATAATGATCAATTTAAATGCAAATAAATTGCTAATGGAGTATTTATTATTATATTTATTATTTTATACCATAATTTATAGAAAAAAAACCAAATGAATAGAAGTAGTATAATTATTAGGTTTGTTTATAATCTTATGTCATGTTTATCAGTAACGTTTACAGATAAATCAGTTTTCTGCAGCTGTTATTTTGTAGCCAGAAGCTAAATGCTTTGAAAACAACTAAACTACATTATTTAGAGTAAATAATTCGATTTTCTTTCATTTCTTTGAACAAACTTTTCTTCCATTAGGCAGAAACAAATGACCTCGTTTCCGTTCATTCATGGCTCCGCCTCCTCTCACCTCGTTCTCTATCAGCTCCTCCAGTGAGATCTCCTCCTCTTTCTCTTCCTTCTTTTTGTCCTTTTTCAGCACGAAGCCCGGCGGCAGGGCGTGTCGGTACATACAGGTGTCGCCCCCTGCTGGACACACCCAGAACCAGCCGTATTTGTTGTTTTCTATGGCTTCCAAGAAGTACTTACACACCTGCAGACAAACAACACAATTACACAATAAAGCTGATCTAATTCAGAGACTGTCCTCTACTACCTGTCTGACCTTTGACCTCTGACATTAACAGTCCTGTTTGTCCTCTGGGTCGTTCTTTAAACTCCAGTGATAAGTGTGTAAAACTCTCAGTACAAGAAGAGTTTCTGACATCTTCACACCGGCCGGTCTGACCAACAAACACGTCACAGTTCAAGTTACAAAATCTTTGTGCTCTGGAGGTTCATCATGTCTACGTGATTAACTGATTAACCCTGTGTGTTAACAAACACATGGACCTAATAAAGTGGCAGTGAGCTCATCTTTAATGTCCTGACCCTGCTCCACATGAGTTCTTATCTTTATGTCCCTGGTTTAATCTTCTCGTACTTCCCGCAGTCACACTTACGATCTGAGTTTTGGCTTTTTTCTTCTCTGCTTCTCCGTGTTTTTTGTTGACCACTTCCTCCAGTTTCTTCTCATCCCAGTTCTCCATGGTGTCTGCACAGAACCAAACATTCAAGCTTTGCTAAATCACCAATAATTACAATGAACTACAGGGCTCTAGAGTGCGACCAATTTGGTCACAAATGCGACCAGATTTCCTAATAGTGTGTCTAAAAAATGTCTGGTTGCACTGGTGCGACCAATCGTTCAAAGGGGGAGCGGTCGCCCGCTGAAACTAAACGTTTCCATGTTCCATGAAAAAATGATCCAGCAGTATCAACGGTCGCCCACCGACAGTCTCACCTCTCCTAACTGCGCGCACGCATAGCGAAACAACTGTAGTTTTGTTTTGTTTTTTAACCCAGATCAGAGTCTGAAAAACATTTCTTTCTTGTTAGCTTGAGATGAAATGAAGATATGGACGGTTGCTCGCTCTTAAGTCCATCTTGTTAGTTAACAGTCTGTGTCTACTCTGTGAGCAGCAGATCATGAGGAAGCTCACCTGTATGGCAGGCCGCTGTTACACTTAATCAGTTTCACCACAGTTACATTCCAAGTATCTGAAATAGGTTCTTCTGGGTCTCAGGAGGATAAAACTAGACATATTAGATATTTAAGTGATATAATGTAAGATAATAAGATTCAACTAATGCTGATGACATGGCAGACTTTTACGTGTCATTTTAAAAAAAATCTGCACAATCTTTTAATAAATATCAGTAATATTTCTGATATTAATCATTATTCTCTGTTCATCCTTCTGGTTTATCCAAGGCCAAAGATCATAGGGTCAAACTACAGGAGTTGTCCATCTGAGGGACATGTGTCTAAAGAAATTTAACCATGAAATGTTTAAGATGTTTATAAGACGTTCAGCTCTTAAACATTTGCACTTAGAATTTTATAGAATCACCTTAAATACTTTTCAGTAAGTTAAATGTCTACAATTCTGGTTCAAATAAAGAGCTTTATGTTTACCAGATTGTTAACTAATTATTTTTGAGTTAATGTTACCTTAATGAACAGTGATAAAAAAATAACCTGTAAAACTCTGATGTTAGGCGACGTGGTTGAAAATTTGAGTGCACCTAACTTTTGTGCTGGTGCAACTAAGAAAGAATATTAGGTGCACCAGTGCAACCAGTGCAAAAAGTTAGTCTAGAGCCCTGTCATCAACAGTGTCCTGGATTTACTGCAGCTCCACAAACCTTTCTCCAGTTCTTCGTCTCTCTCGTCCACGTACACACTCTTCTTCTCACACTTTCTCTCCATGGACAAGTCGTGGCTGAACTTACACTTGTCTCCTTTGGTACACTGGCCCTGCTTGAAGAACGCACACAGCACCGACTTTGGATCAACACCTGCATGGAGGACAGGAGAGGGCAGCTCAATAACGTGTTGCTGACTGCTGGTTAAAGTCAGAGCTCGTCGTTCATCTTCCCACGATGAACTACAACCACAGTGTGTTACCTTTGTTGACTTTCTGAGCAGCCACTACAGGCTTAAACAGCTCGTTGAGCTCGTCCAGCTCTTTCTTCTTATCAGACTTTTTAGTGGTCTTGTCTGCCTCGGCCTGAGCGATCTGAGCACACAAACAGGAAACGATTCAATCAGGCTCTTTCACAAAACATCTCTGCAAATCGTCCCATCAGACCAACCCGTGTCTCCCTGCACTGGTTCATAAACCACAGGTGAAGCGGGCCGTGGCACACAGAGTTTTCAGAAATGACCTGAGCTTTGAACCTAAAGAGGCGAGCAGAACTCGGCTGGGCTGTGCGCCTCGTGTCGCAGAAAACTAAGCACATTTTTCTCCACTTGTTGTTTGAATTTTTTCAAGTTTGAGTTTTATGTCTCTGACCCAGTCTCAAAGCAACCAGAAGAATTCTTATTCCTGAGCTGAGACGTCTGATGACAGCGCCTCTTCAATCCTGTTCAGCTGAACCGTTTTCAGCACAGATGAGCTTTGACACAAACAGTAAAGACAAATACCGCCCACTAACCTGCCGGGCATTTTGTTGTCCATACTTGACTTGTTGAGTAACATTCTTAATGTACTTCTGCTGCTTGGCCCCTTTTTTGTTCTTCAAACCAAAAGTCTTGTCCTGAGAACGAAAACAAACAAACAAACATTTGTTTAATAATTAACACTTGATCAGATCCTCTTAAGAAAGAAGACAAGACGACATTTTTACATCCAGGTTCTGACCTACAGTTAGCTTTATATCTATTTACACACTGACACAAAGTTTTTTACCTGTTTACTGAAAAATATTAAAGTTATAGTTAACAGCCTATACGCCACGGTCATTAATGACGTATTTACGGTAAAATTTTTGCCACGCTCCTCTCTTCCACTTCCTGCCTATGTTTTTAGCGTTAGCTGCTAGTACTAGTCTGTGAAAAAGTCACAAAAGTTAAAGCATCTGTGATCTACTGGTATAAAACATGAGTTCTGTTGTGTGTCGTTGTGTTCACTAACCAGCAGGTACGATAGAGTCGTTAGTTTTTATCCTTTTTCCTCTTGATGAGGAGGTGACAGCAGAGGATCATAGCATTACAAGGAAAACTTTTCTTTAAAAGCTCACGCTTGTGTTTGTAATCAGCATTTCTAACCTGAGGATATTCAAGAGTCAGCATCAGAAATGAGAAGATGGAGGTTACAAAAGAGAAATGTACATTTATCCCCTTTTACTGCCAAGACGAGAGAGGAAAGACCTCCTCACAGCTAGCAGGAAGCTAACAGCAGCCGGTACAAAGGTAGGTGTATGTGTGCGTTTGTGTTATATGAAATGTTTTTATGTGACTTTGTCTTGAGTTTTATGCAAAAGTAATCCATAAAAGCCCATCAATTTAAAGCCCAGACTCTGCTCTTTCCAACAATATAAGTGTCACAGCTCTACGTGAAAAACTCACAGAACAAGCAGCCAAGGAATTGTGAAAAAGGCTAAATTCTGGAACCATAAACACAAACGTCTTTCCTTTGTTTTTATGGCTTTAACCAACTTTGAAGTGATTTTTTTCCACTTGTCTGGACCTGTACGTCTCCTGTGTTAATGTTGGTACATGTAATATGATAATTCTGTACTGTGGAGATCATTAAGAGTCGTTGGGTGAAAAAATCTTTCGCTAACACTGTGTTGACTGTGAACCTGAAGTGATCGGAGTGGCATCAAGTGCTGGGCCGGATGTCCGTGGCATATAGTCTGTTAACAGTAGGGTTGGGCAATGTTGGCAAAAAAAAATTAATCCTGATTAATTGTTGTATTTAGCCAATAACGATTAATTCAACTATTAATCCCCTGGAGTCCCTGGACACCCTTATGTCCTGGTCACATGACCAGTTTAGTGGGAAAGATTTGCTCTTCATATAATTCTGTTCCAAGTTGTCAAAATTACAGACTTCAGGCTGTACATCAATTTTTAAATTGTGTCGTTAAATAAATTACAGAACTTTTTTTTTAAATGTTCGTCATATTAGAAGCAGAGGGGAGCAGCGAGAGGAGTGATCGGGGAAATATCCAGTCAGTCTGCCTGCTGGCATTCATCGTATTAATCATCAAGAGCCAAAAAATAATTGATTAATGTTTTTCTGTCGATTAATTGCACACGATACGATTATGCTCAACCCTAATTAACAGACATGTTCACTTGAGGGTACCCACATTAAAAATGGATGAAGGGTTCAGGAGTTTGTGCCCACCCTACTTTTAAAGAGACTGGACAAATGACTTAAATTATTTCATGAGCAGGTGTGTCCAGAGAAGAATCCTTTAGTTTAACATTTCTAAAACACAATTAACCTGAACAAAAGACCACATCAGTTCCAAGGACCCACATCCTTTGTGTGGATGAGGACAAACCTGTTCCACTGACATAAAATGATTTTTTTACTCTAGTTTTATTTTCAGTTTACACAGCCTGTTTCTATTACTTGTTTTGTAACATCTACATAATATAAATGTTTGGTTTATAAAAATATAGATTAAAGAAAACATTGCAGAATAATGTTCACAGTAATTTATAGTTTATTTCCTGGATTTGTTGGATTTTAAATATAAAAAATATAAAAGTCAACAACCACCAGCACAATCTGACACAGTGAGGTTTAGCAATACGTTTATAAAGCCTGATTATGAAAGTAAAACTTAATTTATAAATGAATTAATTAAACCAGTGGTTCCCAAAGTTGGGGTCGGGACCCGAAGTGGGGTCCTGAAACATTAAAGGTGGGGTCCTGAAAAGATATTCTGAATTAATTACACAAAAAAAAAAAAAGGAGAACTAAAAAATTTTTATGCCTTTGTTGTTACAAAAGAGTAAGGTTAGCGTATTTACATTGGACAAAAATAGCTTAATGAATATTGTTACTGTGTCCTTGTTCATCTGACGTGAAAACAGTGTTTATTAACCAACAACAGCTGGGGTCTAATATATATATATA